TCCCTATTTTTAGCTTTGAAAAATTGCCTAAACAATTGGCGCCAACACCAGAATTTAGTTTCATTTTGGCTCTAAATCAAAATTTCGTTTTCATCATAGTCCCTCCCGCCCAAACCCTAAATCAAACAAATCTCCTCCCCATTAGAAATAGCATACGCATTTTTCAGATTCTCTGTTATCACTTTTCATCAGAAACAATACGATACAAATGGCGGGCAGCGGAGCATCGAAATCTTCAAATCCACCCAGAGGGAGGAAGAGAGTGGAGGCCGACTCTTCTTCTTCTGCTGCTTCCACTACTCTCAAACGCGCTAAAGATGGAAGTGCTTTTGCCAAATGGTATATAACGACAATACACATCTTTTTTTGTATCGATCTGTGCTTATTTATACTGATTCAAGTTTCAATTACCTGTGCTCATTTTTGCAGTGAAGAGTGCAACAAAGATGTACCGGTGGCGTTAATTAGCTTCCACAACTGTAGCCTTGACGCTAAAATTAAGATGAATTTAGGTATTTTATAGGTTAAATTACCAAATGCAGTTTATATGTACAATTATACTGTTATTATAGTTGATTTTTTTTAGATAATGTTTGATTTTTGATTTTGAATGGATTAATTCAATTCTATACAGGGGCTCAGGATGTAGAAATGTCTAGTGAGGTCAAGAAAAACACAGCAGAAAAGTAATCTCATAGAACTTTTGATTTGATTTGTGTTTGTTTCTTTATATTCACATTCTTTTATCGATGAGCAGAAAGAGGGCAAAATCAACAGATCCTAAATCAAAGAAGGAAAAGAAAGCCAAAGATCCAAATGCACCAAAACGCCCTCCGACTGCTTTCTTCCTTTTCTTGTACAATCTCTTCCCTTTACTCTCCCTATTGCATAAGTATGAGAAATATGTTGATAATATTTTTATGTGAATTATTTCTAGGGATGACTTTCGGAAAGAGTTCAAGGAGGCTAATCCTGATTGCAAGAGTGTAAAAGAGGTAAAAAAATCTTGTAGTGTCGCTGTCGAGTCTTAATTGTTGTTTACGACTGTGTGTTTCATTTTTGACATGTTTAGTATCTTGAATATTAGGTTGCCAAGGAGGGTGGTGAAAAATGGAAATCCATGACTACTGAAGTGAGTTTTCTTTATTTATTTTTAATTTGTACTCCTCCACTGCAGTTTTCTCAAGGGAAAAAAAATTAATAGTTGTGAAATGTTTGATTTGCCAGGAGAAAAAGCTCTATCAGGATAGAGCAGCAGAGCTTAAAGCAGAATATGTCAAGGCCTTGAAGCCAAATGAAGAAGAAAATGAAAAAGTATGTATGTTGGTCTTAATTACATTTATGTTTCCCCCCTTTTTAATGTTCTAATGTTACTTATAAATTCGTGTAGGACGAAGAGGACTCTATGGAGAAGGAAACTAAGGTGGAGGTAGAAGTTGACGATGATGAATAGGGTTTCCCAGGGAAAAAAAAACTCTTCTTGAGACAGTACTAAATTAGTTTTAAGCTCTTGTAAATTTTTGTCTCCGGTTAATTTTCTGAGTGCTAGGTCTCTTTTCTGCTTCAAGATTGCTATTCTGCATTGCATTTTGTTGCTCCTTTAGTATTTGAGAATTTAAATATGAAAAATTAGAAATGATTATGCATCTCTCCCATTCATTCATGCCTTGTACTAGATTCAATCATGATAGCCTTTTGATATTCTGCTTATTTGCTTGCTAATCGATATTTGCAGTAATGATTTCATGGGTACACTTGGAAACACAAGTAGATCAATTTGAGTTGAATTAGTTGATCATAATGCACGACATAAGGATCTTGTATAAATAAGGTTTCTTTATTTGTATTAATGGAATGGTGGCCAATGATGTGAAAAGAGTTATCCAAATCAGCTGGTTACAAAACATATATATGAGCTTAGTGCTTGTTTGTTAAAGCTTTTGTTCGTGACACAAGTTGGTCAAACTTCGTTTTTGATTAAATATTAATTAAGTTCATAATTTTTATCAACTTTTTAACCCTCAATAATTTTAGGTTGATATCCGAGTTGATTTTTTAAAACATCGATAATATTTCTGACCTTTTGCATAATTATTAATGTCCATACAGGCTTCCAATACTAGAGTTGGTTTGTTTTATATTAAAGCCCATAATCCCTACAATGATAATTTTTAGGAAAAAACCATTTCTATATTTTTGTGTACATTAGCTTTGACACTCCTCTCACAAAAGTGTGTGGAGCCCATGATTTTTTAAATTGCGGGCCTCTACCTTTGTGAGAGGAATGTCATACATGATGTACACCAAATGTAGTTTTGGTTCAGATTTAGCATTTTATGATAGGAATAATAATGTCAAAAATGAATCATTGAAGGAACATATAATGAAATAGAAGTTTAATAGTAGGACGATTTTTTTTTTTATTTGATACAACCACAATGGCCATTTGAATTGATGATGATTCAAATAATCACTGAGAATTCTTACGTTAAACTCAAGATTTGGTGTTGAGTTTTTGTTATGGTCGATCAGCCTATATTAGGTTATGCCACTGATTTCTTCGTGTTTAGGCTTATAATTTGGCTTTGATGTTTCATACTGACAGAATCCTTCATTTCTGCACAACTGGTTCATAAACCTTCAATAATTGAGTTGAAAATACCTAACCCGCCAGCCAATACACAGCACAAATGATCCTTTTAGATGGCCTCCATAGTTTGGTCATTAAAAAGTCAATTTCCACCACCGCACATTGCCACCATCGCCATGCCACACCACTACATTGCCGATGAACGTGGATTGTTATGCCCGGTGGTGTAGAGTTTAGTGCATATTAAGCATTTTTTCCTCACAATACCCAATTATTTTCACATAACCACAAAAGACAACATTGACTCGTGTTTTCTTTAGAATTTTATGTCTCTCTTTTGTTCTTTTTCCTTAAATATTCGAATTGTAACTTAAACTACAGTTAGGAAAGCATTTACAATTCCTTACAAAAAATAAGTACTATGATTGTACAAATCCAACTCGAAGTACAAAATATAAGGCCAAAGAGTGAATCATATACCCCAATCAGTTGTAATCAATCCACCATTCACAAAATTCTCACCCAACTCCAATCGAGTAGTTTGATTTTTCACGAAAACACGTTCCATTATGACGTCCTCCAGAAAAGAGCACCGGAATACGACTATAAATGGCCTAGTCGCTCCTAGTAAACAATGAGAGGAAAATATTCAAACAGGGCAAAATTTATACTTGCAATGTTACATATGCTCATAGACAGTGGATGTGAAACTTGAAACAAGAAACCCGATCATGCTACCAGTTTTTATTTCTATTGAAGGAAAGAAGAAGATTTTTATTTTGAGCTGTTTGGCCAAGCTAAACAAGGAAGTGTTTGTTCGATAAAACTTAGCTAAAATTTTATAAAATTTTTAACTCATCAAACTTCATTTCTAACCACACATTCTAGGAATCCACAACTTTTATCAACTTTTTTGTTTTAACCAACACATTGTATCAATTTTTATCGAGATCTGTAAAAACTTTTATCAAAATCTTTGTCAAACAACCCCTAAAGTTACCTTTTTAAGTAACTTTTTGCTCCAAACATGTTATAATAGCTAGTTTATTTTTTTTCTTGAAAAAAAAAAAGGAAAAAAACGATGGATACTTTATGGAAAGCAATTCTTTTTTTTTAGTGTCAAATTAAAGAAACTTATTTCCAACCAAAAAAAAAGTTTTTTATTTAAAAGTTAATTATAAACTTTGTAAACATAGTCAAGCATGCTGTTAAGACAAATGAATCGGTTTAGGTTGAACTATCAAACCTGCAACAGCTGCATCAACTTTGGATGTTCTTCTAGAAGCTGACAAAGTTTATCACGATCACTCAACAGAGACTGCAATCAGGTATAAAAATAACGATCAGAACATAATTTATTACCAAATTGGCCAGAGAGATGCAAAATATGATACCTGAATAGCTTCTGGGGATTTAAAGTATTCCTGCAACGACATTCCAGAATCTTGTTGCTGGGACGTGCCTTCCGCTTGCTGATGCTGAACTCGTGACAGCTCAACTTGTTGCAATGATTGTGCAGTAGTATCCTGCTGTCGGGTCTGAATATAAATGTGGGCAGGAGAAAGTTGTGACACTTGTAGGGGACTTTGCAACACAGACATGCCTTGCTCCGACTGCGGGGAAGCAGGAATGGATGGCCGAAGATGCTGTGGTGGGGGGCGAGGTATTTGCGGTGGCTGTAGAGGCTGCAATTGAGTGAGAGGTGGTATGGAGTGAAATGGAGGAAGAGACATCGGAAGGTTTTGTGAAATACTAGGTAGGTTTTCTCCGTGATGTGGAGCTAAATTATTTCCATAAAGATTGATAGGTACTGAACCGGGCCTGAAAATCAAGGGTTGCACTGAAGGAGGCAGGGGATAAGAAGTTAGCATTGTCCGTGATGCCGAAAGGGTACCCAATCCAGTATCCATTGAAGGTGCAACAGGGTTTTGCTGAAGCTCGGAACTACCAATAGTTTGAACATACAATGGAGACTGAGAATTTGGATTTTTAAATGAGGCCATTAAAGAAGGGTTAGATGAATATGGAGGTGGCATAGGAGGAAGAGGAGGTGGTGGTCTACTAGATCTGCCAGGGGAAGAATGGGATGTCCGTCCGAATCTTGAATCAGGCAAAGGGCTGGAGGTTGCCAGTGAAGAATTGCTTGCCAAACCAGACAGATATTCCGACTGAACCTGCAAAAGAGGGAGAAGATGGGTTAATCAACCAGCAGGAACAATTAACTACAGGCCGCACATCTGCCCACAGAACTGAATGGAAAAAGGCCGACTCACAATGGTGTCTGTAGTTTGAGACAATACAGGTGAGACTGTTGGTGGAGGTGGCATTGGAGGCAAAGGTGGTTGATTTAATGGAAATGTTTGATCATAGAATCCTTGAGAACCACCACTTAAAGGTACAGTTCCACTTTGTGGAAAATTTGCTTGCGAATAGAGGGCAGGAGGCTGCCTAGAGCCAAAAGTTAATTGTCCAGTTGAAGATGGAGAGTTTGCATAGACTGGAATAGAAATCCCAGAACCACTAGCTCCTGCAGGAGAAACAATCCTTGGCGTTTGGACTGGAAAACTCTTCACGTCCTCTGACTGATCAGGAAACTTTCTAGCTGAAGAAATGCTTGATTCTCGAGTCAATGGCATCTCTGGACGTGATGCAGACATTCTTTCACTCGGCATATTTTCATCCATGTTTGACGCTAATGGTGTACCCAAGCGAGAGAACTGACTATCTTCATTCACATCAGTATCTGTCTCCTCAACTATTGAATGAGGAGAACTTTGCTCAACTACAACAGGTGGAGGCTGCTGTAGATGGGCATCTGGATGAGGAAACATCAGTTTATCATCAGGTTCAGATTCCTCAGCATCAAATACAATATCTATTCCCTGTAGATCATCATCAAGATCAGGTTTCAACTTCTGAGGTTTACTGCGCTTCTCAGCATCTGTGTTGTTATCTGGACCTGTTGATTGCACCTGTGCTGTTGTATCGATACCAGCCAATCCCACAGAATTTTGGCGCTCCCTTTGTCTGGCCATGAATTCGTCCACATGGATAGATGGTGGTCTCCCGCTTGTAGATCCTATCCGTGGGACAGCAATTACATTAGAATTTATACCATCAGCATTTCTTTCTCTTGCAACATAGTCATCCACATGCATAGAAGGAGGCCTGCTAGTATTTGGCTTACGCTGTCGAAAGGTATCCCTACGAGTAGGGCCAGAGGGGGCAGCAACAGGTACCGGCCCCCTAGACAATGTACTTTGTGCGATTGCCTCAGCAGCAGCATTGTCCCCTCTGGCACGCCTTGGTTCCTCCAGTGAGGAGATCTTTCTTTTTGCACTAAGAACAGTCTGTGCAAGTCTATCACGCAAATTTTCAGGACATTCCCAAAAGTAGTAGTCTCCAAATTCATCCAAGCTATAATCCTCCATCCATTCTATGTTACTGTTTGCAATTTTATGAACCCTCGAAGGAACTGGAGCAACAACTAATGAGCTAAGGAAACTGGCAATTGTAACATCCTCATTGACTGTATCAGTCGACTTTTGCAACAAAAGCATTAGTGAGTTTGCGGACTCCTTAACCTGCACATCCATTATCGCATTATTGAGTGGAAAATAGGAAGGAGCTAAAATAGGGGAAGGTAAATGAGAAACTATACCTGGTTCAAATCCCCTGCAGCTGAATATGCATCACTGCTTGTCTTTGACCCTAACAGATTGGCAAACTCCTCGATCTGTTTCGTGCTCTCTACAATAAAATCATCTACAGAACTCTCATTCTTAATTTTGAAAAAGAATTTGATGGCAGCAACCCTCTCCAAGTTGAGGCTAAAGAAGAAAAAATATGAGTTGGCAATTTAT